GGGGGGGGGGGGGGGGGGGGTTAAGCTCCAAATCACTAGAAAAAGCTCTGAAGAGAGAAGGATGGGGGGGTTTACATCCAAGAATTTAAAATTCCCCCTTTGTGTGTGAGATGAGGCAGCAGAGTGGACTCTGCTTCTCATTGGGGGGGGGGGGGGGGGTGTAATGGCGTGATGTTGGAGCGCGCTGTTTTTCTCCATGAGTTGGCAGTGTCCTGCGCTGGCTGGCGTGCAGCGCGCACTCCCTCTGCCTGACAAAACACACACAAACACACACTCACGCGGCGGGGGGACGCACGCACGCACACACAGACCGACGCGCACGGTCCCTCTGCGATCCCCTGACTGAAGGCTCACAGGAAGTGCAGCCGTGGCCCAATTATAGCGTGACACCTCGGGCCGGCCGTTGCCATGGCGACGTCTTCCCTGCGGTCCCCTGGAGTGTGGCGCCGAGGAAGAAGGTCTTATCACATCAGCCATCGTTACGGCAACAAGCACCCCCCCAGCCCCGTCCAGCTGGCTGCGTGTTTGGTTTGAAATCTGTGCGTCTGGATGTGATATATATACTCGTGGAGAAAAGCACGCGCGTGTGTGCAGTATTGGTGATTGTGCGTGCACGTGAGGTTTAGGTGGCTCGCCAAGGCAGCGTGTAGGTGTTTGTGTGTCTGTGGGGTTGCGATAAGGCTCTCAGCCACACCATTAGGTGACTCATAATCCACACGCACGTGCGAGTGCAAGCACCGAAAACATGGCTGCAAACGGACACACACCCCATGAAAGCTGAAGCAGGTAAAGAGGCGCAGCACAAAGCTGGTGCACGAGGCAAACTTCTTTTATTTGAAAAGGCAAACAGAGCTATACAGAACAAGTTGCACATGAAATAATTTAGCCGAGGCCGAACTCGCTCGTTTCTTACTGAAGCAGCGACGCCAGAACAACAAGCAGAACTGTCAGAAACACGTCCTTCGAGCACGATACATCCAAACTGGAAAACAATGTAGAAAAGACGTATGCCTTCCAGGTATTTACAGTTATTTACAGCACGTTGTTGTCGTCGTAACATTGACACACGCTGGTATCCTTCTTCTTCTCCTCTCACAATTCTCTGATTGTCAAAAGAAAGGATGGAAACGAGTGTGGACATTCTGGAGCGGAGCTGCGGCTCCGGGTCTGGAGGTGCTGGTTCCCAGTCTGAGCGTGTTGACTGGTGTCCTGTGTGTGCTGCTCCGACCTCCAGCTCCCAAACAATCGCCCACCTGCTGCCAACGTGCACGTCACTATCCATCCAAGGCCCCGCTGCTCCTCTCCTGTGCCAGACCCAAAGTAAAGTCGGACCCCCTCAGGTCAAACCCGGACACTCTGCTCTCAAACCCGGGGCCCCCAGGCTTCCTCTTCAGCTCCTCGCACTTCCTGTATTTACAGATCTGGTGTCCTCTCTTGCGGTTGCGGCAGCTGCTGCACTGTTCGCAGTTCGTCTGACGTCGGCAAGGTACGCACTCCCCGCACCTCTTCCTCTTCCTTCTCCCTCCGCTGCCCCCACCCAGAGAACTGGGGGAGTAACCTTCGGCCACCAGCCCTTCCATACCTTCGGCTCCCATGGCTGCACTCCTCCAGTGACCTCCCCCCATCTGAAAGCCCGCCAGGGGGAAGAGAGCGGGGCTAAAGGGAAACCAAGCGCCGAGGAAGGGTTGGAAGTCAGTGCTACAACCAGTGGAGTCCTCTTCCTCCTCCTCAGGCCCAGATCCACCTCCCTCTCCGTCCCCCTTTCCCCCCTTGGCCTCTGCAGCCTCCCTCTGAGCTGGCTGGCTGCTCTGGGTGCCCAGGCTGGCCTGCTCCGTGGTGGTGGGGGTGAGAGCCAGCAGCCCGGCACGCATCAGCAGCTCTGCAGCATGGGCCAGGTGGAGCCCGCTGGGCGACTCCCACATGTCGGGCCAGGAGGGGGCCCGGCGAGGCTTAGTGTGACCGGGCTGGGCGGCGCGCTGCTGAGCTGGAGACGGCTGGATCAGGCCTTTGACATCGACAGCAGGGGAAGGGGTGGAGATGTAATGGGAGAGGCTGTAGGGGTGGTTGGACCGCTTCAGGCTCGGTCTCAGAGGCTCGTTGGGGATTTTAGCACTGCTGTGGGCCTGGTCTGGGGAAGAAGGGCCGGCGATGTCTACCGCGGTGGACATAGCAGTGGCTGGGGGCTGTTTGTCCTTGTGTGCTCGAGTGAGGAGGGGACTGGAGCTGATGGGCTGACAACTGTCCTGCTGATACTTCAGCCAAAACGGCAAGCCTTGGCCTGTGTCCCTATTCCCATTCTCTGCAGCAGCTTCAGAGTCCTGGAGAGCTGGAAATGAAGAGGGGATGAAGACAGGAAGGTTAAGAATGGAAGTGTTGGAGGGACGACACAGAAAGACAGAGAACAGGGAGCAGGGGGTTGTGTGTTTACCAGCAGGCTGCAAACCAGCGAGGGGAATAAAGCTGGAAACCTGCATTTAATAAACAACACGCCAGTCAGGGTCTGGGAGAAACCAGCAGATCGAGGTGAACACGACCGTGTGCGCGACCGCGCATGCCTTGCCAAGGATTTCCGCATACAAGAGGCAGTATCCCTTTAAGAATTTCACGGTATATCAATGCAATCAATAACAGAGCGACAACAATATGCAAAGATATGCGCATATGCGCAGGTCAAATGTGGAGCGCGCTTTTCAAATACATTTTGACGACTGCAGTTATGTGTGCCAGCCGAGGCGGAATAAAGACGGCAGCGTCCGGAACGCACGCACAGGCTGCCTTTTGTCTGTCGACGACGAGGAGCGAGGTGCGCAACGATGCGGTCGCTGAGGATAAAAACGGACCGGGCTGTGCTCCGTGGCCACATTTATGGAAACGCTAGCCCCGGGATTCGTGTCGGAACACTTGCGTGTTCACGGCGGAAGAGTTCGAGGCGGGTGGAGGGTCGGTCGGGAGGCCACGCTGATCGTCGGAGCCTGGTTCGGGTTACCTCAGAGGACGGCTCGGCCGACGCCACGGCGAGCTGACCAGTCCGAGCGGCCGCTGCGACACGGAGCCGCGCGCAGGAAAAGGGCGACGAAAACAGCCCCCCGGAACCGACAGGAAGTGTGGAGGAAAAACAGCCAGCTCACCTTTCCCGACGCGACCCGGCCTCTCCTGTCAAATACTCGATGAAGTCATGGACCGAAAGCCGATCGTGAGCGTATATGGACGGCGGAGCTGCCGAGTCCTCCTCCACCTCTCCGTCCCGGAGGGTCTGCAAACACTCGGCACGGAATTTGGGGGCGTCGCTCAAAATGCGAAGTGGACTCGACAGACGGGCGAAGGCTGCTGTGTGTGGCCAGAGCCCCGGGAGGGTCCAGCAGCTGCCCGCGCACTGGGAGACCAGCACAGGTCCACGGAGACCAGCACAGGTCCACGGAGACCAGGACGGGTCCACGGAGACCAGGACCGCCAGGACAGGTCCACGGAGACCAGGACCTTAGACCAACATTTCACTGCGTCGTTCACGATCACAAGTGCAGCGAGCGACAATAAATGTTTATTGCTCCTTCACCACAAAAATAAAGATGTGCGTGTTTTTCAGCTCACACCAGCTTTATGTTACACACGTTTGTTGTTGTTTTAGTGTTTCACAACTTTCTCACAACTTTGTGTTTTTAATGAATAAAAGGCCACAACCAAAAATAACCAGACCGGAAGTTGATGCTTTTTTAAAACTTAGACTTGTTGACAGAATGCGCTAAAATATTTTATTTACATTTTTAATTTGTTATTTAGAAATTTGCTAAAAAAGCTAGCATCCTACTGTTTCAGCAAATATTTGTCCATTCATGTCTGTTAGCAAAATTAGCATGCTAAATGTTGCCAACTAATAGAGCTAAGATAAAAGGAATCCGTTTTTCAGCTCTTAAGCAAAACTAAAGTCAATAAGAAAAAATATACATTTTTTTCCTAGCAAATATTATCAATATGTTCTAAGATGTTATATATAATGTGTTATTTGGAGATTTGCTAAATAGCAGCGTGCTAACAATGTTATGCTGTAGTTTCTGTTCTAGTTAGCATGCTAAATGTTAGCTAGTTCTAGTTAGCATGCTAAATATTAGCTAGTTCTACTTAGCATGCTAAATGTTAGGTAGTTCTAGTTAGCATATTAAATGTTAGCTAGTTCTAGTTAGCATATTAAATGTT